GGAATAGGACTTTCAAGAAATGGAGGGGGGTCAAGGAGAGAGTCTTGCCTTTGGGTTTCTTGCCACCCTTGGCCCCAAACAAAGACTACTTCTGAATATCTTATGACATACTTTCTTTTTATATTTCAACTTTACTTCAAATATGAGGTTTTATATACACAAGGGAGGGTGGTTGCATGAGAAAGTTGCAGTGAGGCACAATACTAGTGGGTTTGGGGCCCAGTGCACAGGGCTGTACTATGAAGGAATTGGAGAGGCTCTGGGAGGACCTAGTGAGAACGGTGGTTTGGGGGTGGGGGGGGGAATTCCTATAGGAAACTTTCATTTCCTTCCCAAGTTAGCTATTCAAAAGGTCGATCATTTGGTCTGTTTAGCAGTCACTGCTCTTTGGCAGCATCAACAAAAAAAGTGTCAAGGCTGGGGACACAGAGAAAACTATCAGTCCCTTTTATTCTCTTTATGCCTAGTTGGGTAAGGGAATGGATAGAAACTAGTAGCAGAAAATGAAAACATTTCTGATGTTATCCCTTGCTATGAAAAATCATCAGTCGGCATAGAGACCTATTTCTTAGTCTGGGAATGGGATGTGGCCAACAGGCCTGGGTATAAGCCCTATCTTGAGCTGTACAAACAAATTCTCTGACCCTGCTGGAGTCATTTCTCATTTCTGGACTATGTCCTCATCTGTAGAGGAGCCGAGGCCCAATAATCTCTAAAGACAAACTTTTTCAGGTCTCTGATTCTATGACTTGTGAACTGCAAGAATCCAAATGAGCTCCAAAAAACACAGGAGTTAGAAGTAAGAGGATGTGGGAATTAGATTGGAAAACTGAAGAGTTAGACTTTGTAATAAAGAAAAAGGATGAGCTACATTCATAAAGAAAAACAACAGAAGGAAGTCAAGCTATGGAACAGGTAAGTGTAGGAAGACATCCGAGGTCCTGATGACAGGAAAGAGCAAGAGTTCCCGCTGCACTGCCTCAAGGGCCCAAGCCCTTGACCATGGTAGTGTTTTCTCTCACAGCACTTCCTAGTCCATGGTTATGTTATACCCCAAATTGCTACTATTCATAGTCATCAGCCTTTAGGAGTTTATAGTTTACACCAAAATGCATAACACATAATAGGACCCCTAAAGATTCTGCCAAACTCTTATTAGTGTTTCCTGGGTCAAATTAGACTCAACCATTTGGGAGAAACCAGTGATTGCAGTTGTCCAGGTGTACTTTGCTTTCTGGGGCTGTAAGAAATATGGATGGAAATTTTGCAGAGAGCAATGCAGGAAGGAAAGGGCATATTGCCTAATCTTCGTTGATTTGCAGATGGTGGGGTTTGTGATGGTACTGCACTTGCTCAGCCCCAGGTGAGGAAAAACCAGGGACCTGGGAGAATATCAGTGCTCTCGTCGTCGGAGAAGAGTGCACACCAAAAGCATCAGGGCAAAGAATACCTCCTGAGAATCTCAAAAGGACCAGGCACACAAAAGCCATTCAAGAAATACTAGTTTATTCCCTATTTTACAAGGCTTGGTGGCACTGCTAGTTTATAAGCCCACGTTCAAAGAGGGAGGCACCCAGTATTTGTGTGTAAGAAGGCAGCTCAGCCCAGGCTGAGGGGGAACTATCAGCTTACCCCCAGGCCCTAGGGCAGCTCAGTATGGCAAGAACCAGAAGACTCAGGTGTTGTTCTATAAAGCTGAAAATGGGGATATGGTACTTCTTACACAAAAAGAGCTCAGGGAACAGGATTATCCTTAGTTCTTTGCCTCCAATCAGAGTTTGCATTTACCCACTCAGTATTATCAGGGCTCCCAGAAAGGGTCTGAGCACAGACCATCCAGCAGTTGTCCTAGTCAGTGGAAACATTAGAGAACTTGCCTGTTCAAGACTAGTGCAGGAAGCGGGGGTGGGGGGGGGTGGCGGCACACCAACAGGTATAGAAGGTTGGAGAGAATCCCAATGTATGGAAAGGCTAGAGTTTTAATAGGTTCCCAAGTTTTCTAGAAGGCAAGGTGGGGTGGTCCCTTGCTGATCCTACAGAGCTGGGACACTGGCACAGGAGGCAACAGCAAGCTCCCATAAGGAACAGATGAAGCCTGGGGCCCCTTGCCTTCTCCAGACCAGTTTGGGAGACTGGGAGGATGAGAAGGCAGAGCAGTCAGAAACTATGAGATATGATATATTGCAAGATTTTAAATTTTGTTTTTAAAGGGAAAAAATACCTCATGGTTATGCAGAGGCTCAGGAGATTTCCTGGGTTCATTATCCTAGTTCTGCCATTTACTAGCTATATGATCTTGAACAAATAACTGAGCTTCTCTGAGACTGTTTCCTCATCTCTAAAACAGAGATAATGATAATGTTCAACTCAGGGTTGTCTTGAGCATGCATGCAAGACAGATTTTAACAGATAAGTGTTAAGTAAATGTGAGCTATCACTATTGTTAATGTGACACGACAGTAATACACACACATTAGGCAAGAGATTATTACACACTGATGATCGACCCAGTCTCCCTATTATCCTCCCTTGGGCTCTTAATTGATGAATAAACAGTGTATTGCTTGGTGGCTTCCAGTACAATTTCTCTCTTCACTTTGCTGGAACTTTGACCTGAAGGTGATCCACAAGATGCATGAAATTCTTCCTGTTTTCTTCACAAGGTAAGGATGATGTTTAAATGGGCATTTGTTTGAGGAATGACCTGAGGGCTCCTTTCCTTCCATCTTCAAAGGATTAAGGCTGTGGACAGGAGGGGCATGGTAACAAGCCCCACACTTTGTTCTGAATGCATGTGTGGGCACAGGTGCATGCCTCACCCCCTTCACTTAGGAAGGAGGGATCCAGAAATTTTTCTCTGAGAAATCAGTAACAGAAATGGGTTTGGGAAGCTGGTTACCTGGGAGCTCCTTGTTCATCTGTGGCATCAGGAACTGCTTCTTTTCCTTCTTCTTCCTTCTAGAAGATTAGCAAGAAGTAGCCTGAGGGAGGAAGGTGGAGCAACCATGGCCTTGGAGAAAAAGAAGTAGGTTCTCCACTCCTTCTGGAGGGAGAAGAAATAGCAGAGATCAAAGATGAAGAGGGAGGCAAATGGAAGTAGACAAAATGAAGGTAAATACCCTATATATTAAAAGGAAAAGCAATGAGAGGGGAGAAGGACAAGAAAAAGAGAGAAAAGCACAGAGGTTAGGAATAGGGTGAGAGAAAACACCCTAGGAATAGGGTGAGGAACAACAAGCAACCAGCAAAGGAACAATTCCCATGTTCAATTAACCAGGAGAAGACATAGGCATGAATGTGAATGGGTGGAAGACTCCAGCTTTCCCATTTCACTTGCTAAGGGCATGGCATGGACTGCCATCTTCTGGTGCATATAATATTCAAGTTGCTTTGATTCTTGATTTGGAATGATTTCTATTACTTATACCCATCATTTTTCATCCTCAAGAGAACCCTCAACATTATTTCCTTTCATCTTTGGAGCTCTCACACATCATTTTCCCCAACACTCTGAGACACTTCCCCAAAGTTGTCTCAGAGCACAGAGGCTGGAAGTCTTTGGGGGCAAGAGCAAAAAGGGAGGCTGGGCGTGGCGGCTCACGCCTGTAATCCTAGCACACTGGGAGGCCGAGGCAGTCAGGAGTTTGAAACCAGCCTGAGCAAGAGCGAGACCCCGTCTCTACTATAAACAGAAAGAAATTAATTGGCCAACTAATAATTAGCCGGGCATGGTGGCACATGCCTGTATTCCCAGCTACTTGGGAGGCTGAGGCTGAAGGACTGCTTGAGCCCAGGAGTTTGAGGTTGCTGTGAGCTAGGCTGATGCTACGGCACTCACTCTAGCCTGGGCAACAAAGTGAGACTCTGTCTCAAAAAAAAACCAAAAAACAAAAAGGGGCAGAGGATGAACTGTGGTTTGGAAGAGGCTCTGGAATACCCTGGGACTGTAGGCTGCTTATGGGATGCCTTGGGCCATCTGTGCCAAAAACTAGAGGACCCATCCTCAGTCCTAACCAGACACTCAGGTGCTGTGAGTTCTGAACTGTAGCACTAGTGTGGCTTCTAATCTACACTCTGCCAAGCACAGGTCATAAAATGTCAAACAAGAAGGAGCCTTAAGAGATCATCTAACCCAAATACTATATTTCAAGGGAAAAACTGGGGCACAAAGAGGTGAAGTAGCTTGCCCAAAGTTTTACAGCTAGTCAGTGACTTCCTTTTCTTCTGAGGCAGAAAGAAAAAATTGGAATAGTGATTCTCACGGTTCACCATTCTATAACAAACACAGTCTATAAAGTGCTTAGAGGTTATTAAAAGGCACCCCAGAAAGGTAAGGCTGGAATTTTTCTGGAAGCCCCTGAGTATACCAACCACTTAAGCACCTCCTTATTTGGCTACAAGGACAGCCCTGGAGTTGCTTTACCTCCATTTTAATCCCCAAGGCTGCCTGGCGGCTGGAGAAAGGAGCTCTGACTGCTGTCATCACTTGCCAGCCAGTCTATGGAGACTGAAGCTAGGAACTGTCAGGAGTGACAAGGGAATCCTTGGCCATTGCCAAGGTCCGGGGCAATGGCCAAGCTCCTGGGATTAAGCAAGGCAATTATGGCTGAGTTAAAGCTAGGATGGGCAGGACTGGGAGACCTGAGGTGGCAAAGGCAGGTAAGAAGAGGGAATGATCTAGCAATCAAAATGACTTCAATTGAAGTGGGCTACTTCACATAATATCTCTTCAATTCCAAAAAGGTTCCTTTGCCTTCAACTGCCTAGGCCAGATGGGCCTATTCACTTAAAAGAACCTCACCATCTTCCCCATTCTTCTGCTTTTTTCTAATCCCTGTAGCGTCCTTTGGGGTCTCCTTTCTCCCCTATGCCTTGGGTTCCTTCCACTCACATCCAACCAGCGTTTTCCACCCCAAAGTCCCCAGCTTTGTTGATTCCGACCTCCCCCGCACGCCCCTTTGATTTCTCCCATCCTCCTCGCCGGCTTCCCGCCAATCTTGGTTTCTCCCATTCCTCCCCGCCACATCAGGTTCCCCTCGCCCCCGGGTGCCTTTGGATTTTTCCGCCGTGGGCCGCAGGCGCCTGGTCTCAGATAAAGTGGATCCAGCCCTGGGGCTCCGGGGCTCCGCCACTGCCCGGGTGCTCAGGCCCACGTAGAGCATAGTCACGGCCGCCGTTGTTGTCCCAGAACTCGCGACCCGTCACACGGTAGCGCAAGGCGAAGAGCAGGGCGCCCCCAACGGGCGGCGCCGGCAGACGGAAGGCGAAGCGGTCGGCGCGCGGCGGGGGCGGGGCCGGGCCGGCGTAGGCGGCGGGCGCCTCCCGTTGGCTCCGCCAGCCGTCGGCGCTCCAGCGCACGCTCACGCGCTTCTCGTAGGCCAGGTCCAGCACGCGCGCGCTCCCGGCCACGCCCAGCGGGCTCGCCTCGGCGCGTTCCAGGCAGATTCGCTGCGCCTGCAAGCGGGCGGCGAAGCCGGGCTCGCTGGCCGGCTCCAGGGCGGCGCGCGCCTCCTGGGGGAAAGAGAAAAAGGGGAGAAGGGAGCCCACGGCGAAGAGGGGGCGGGCAGAGGGCGGGTCAGAGCGAGGCACTGGACCAATCAGAGGCCGACCCCGGCGTCTGGGCTGGCGGAGGGGGGCTTAGCTGCAGGGATGCCCCAGAGCCACAGGCCAATGGGGACCCCAAGGGGATGAGCCTGCCCCAACCCAGGGATGGGACTGGAGATGGGTGTTCCTTGACTAAGCCACGCCCACCGCGGCCAGCTCGGAGAGGTCCCCAGGAGGGGGCGTGCCCCTGCCGCCTACCTGGAGGCCGCGGGCGCGGGGCTGGCACGGCGCGAAGTGGCGGAGGGCGTCCCTCTGCAGTTGGACCTGCACGTGGCGGGGCACCCGGGGCAGCTCTCCCGGGCGGAAGCGGCGCACGGCAGCCAGCTCCAGCCCCAGCGCGTCCGCGAAACGCACTCTCTTGCGGGTGTCCGGACTACGGCTGCGGGGCGCCCGGGCCCCGCCTCCTCCAGCGGGCGCAGAGCGGGCCCGGCGACCCCGACTCGGAGCGTGAGCTCGGGATCGGGCGCCGAGCCGTGTCCCGCCCTCGCCTTGCTCCTCTTCTGGCTCCTCTTCGAGGCTGGGCCGCTGGCTGCGGTAGTAGGCGCGCTCAGTCAGCGCAGCGATAAAGCTCAGGTTGCGAGGGATGTCGGTGCGGGGGGGCCGCTCTCGGGACATGGTACCCCCGCACCGGCAGGGCCAGCCCGAAGCGCCACCGCGCTGCCCTCCCTTCCTCTCTCCCGCCCGCCCCGCGTCGGTGCAAAAGTCACAGGGCCCGCTTCAGCAGCCCCTCGCCCTTGCGTACTCTCCTTGCTGTCACCTCCAAGATCCTCCACCGCCAGTCGCTCTGCCTCGCCTCGGTGACCACTTTCCCTCCCTCTGGCGGTCAGCTCCTAGGGTCTTCAGACCATCGCATCCTGCCTCCTGCGAGCTGTCTGCTCTGAGCGTGCGCTCAACGGCGTTCACCCTCGGGTTCCGCGGTCCTCATGGCCCTGGCCCCCGCCCACAGCCCAGTGACAGGTGGCTCCGCATCTGTCTTTGCTGCTGCACCAGGGGGCGGGGACTCCACTTCTTCAGGCCTGACTGAGGCCACTCAGCCTTTTTTCAAAAAGTCCTCAACTTCACCCGCACGGCACGGGAAGGGTTAACACAGGGAGGAAAGAATAACCTTTCTTTTTCTTGCTGGAGAAGGTTCAAAACACCCAGCATGTGACTTTATCTAAAGGACTCACCATTTTCTTTTTTTAAACCTAGACTCCAGATTAGGGAAGGGGTAGAGGTGGGTGCAAACAAGGAAAGGTCATGGAAGCTGGGTGGAGTCTCTGAAAGAGAAAGTGAGATGTGGCACTCAAAAAGGGCAGGGGGCAGGGAGTGGGGGTGGCTGAACACTGCCCATTGGAAAGTGTCCAGAACTGAGAATTGTGGAGAGACCTAGCTTCTAGACCCACCTCTAGTGCTATTTTAGCTGTATGACCTTGAGCAAGGAACAACTTCTTTGGACCTCAGTTCTCTTATCTGTAAAAAGTGAGTTAAGCCAGGCACTGTGGCTCAGGCCTGTACCCCCAGCGCTTTGAGAGGCCAAGGCGGGAGGATCGCTTGAGCCCAGGAGTTAAAGACTGCAGTGAGCAATGATGATGCCACTGCATTCCAGCCCAGGTGACAGAGTGAGACCCTGCCTCAAAAAAATAAATAAAAAGAAGTGAGTTAGAGTTCTGATTTCTGTTTTGTTTTTTGTTTTTTTTAAGAAGCACCAGAGTCCACTGAGGCATTTTATTTGTAAGTATGTATTACATCCCTACAAAAAGAATCCCAGAATTTTCCCTCCTGTGTGTTTTCTTCTTGCTTCTTCATGGTCCATGATGCCAGCTGAAGTTGTCAATACAATGAAACCAAACTGGTGGGATGGGAGCAGATTATTCTGCCATTTTTCTAGATCTTTGGAGTTGCACATCAAATCTGGGGCTGATCACTCCACACTTGTTTAACCTGCCTGTGAGGTTCACAACAATTTCCCCAGCTCTGTGATCATCGATGATTTCAAATTCGCCAATGTAACCATGCTTCATCATCACAGTTAGAAACCAGACAATGACTTTGGAGCACAGCCTTATAAGAACCTGGTGTTTGCCTCTCTTTTTGGCATTGCTGATGCTCTTAAGAGCATCAGCCAGGACATTCATGCGCACCATTATGGCGGCATGGAAAGATGGCTAAAAGAAGGTAGAGTTCTGATTTCTAATCCAACTGTAAGCCTTTTGAGGGCAGGGGCTGTCTGATTCATGGTGAGTTTTAGTACATGGTAAGCCCTCAAATGATTGAATGAATGAGCACTTAACAACTCTAGAGCTGGGACTGTGAGCTTCCAAGAAGGGCAAAGAGCTGGCTTTTTTCTGCATTAGTAAAAAAAAGGTTTTTAATTTTTTTGAACTTTCCTATTGATCTTATATAGCACTTACAATGTGCTAGGTACCATTGTAAGAGTTTTACAAATATTAACTCATGTAATACAACCATCATAGGAACAGGGAATTTTTTATGCCTGTTTAACATAGGAGAAAATCTATAGAGAGGATAGGACTCTTGCCTGGGGTCACTTAGTTGATGACTGGGGAGCTGGGATTAGGACCTCAGCAAATCCAGCACTAGAGTCCACCTTCGTATCCCCTTGGTTACATAAGATTAAAACATGTAATGATGATTGTTATCATCTTCAGAGTATTCAAATGGGAAAAGTGAAATCTCTGAATTTAAACCATTAGGATAGTTTAATTGTAAAATCACAAGTGACTTAAATTGGAAATAAACTATGACACATATATTAACACTATTTTATGGCCGGGTGCGGTGGCTCACGCCTGTAATCCTAGCACTCTGGGAGGCGGAGGCAGGTGGATCGTTTGAGCTCAGGAGTTTGAGACCAGCCTGAAGAAGAGTGAGATCTTGTCTCTACTAAAAAAAAAAAGTAGGGCCGGCACGGTGGCTCACGCCTGTAATCCTAGCACTCTGGGAGGCCGAGGCAGGTGGATTGCTCGAGGTCAGGAGTTCTAGGCCAGCCTGAACAAGAGCCAGACCCCGTCTCTACTATAAATAGAAAGAAATTAATTGGCCAACTAATATATATAGAAAAAATGAGCTGGGCATGGTGGCAAGTAGCTGAGGCAGGAGGATCGCTTAAGCCCAGAGTTTGGAGGCTCTTGTGAGCGAGGCTGATGACACGGCACTCACTCTAGCCTGGGCAACAAAGCGAGACTCTGTCTCAAAAAAAAAAAATTAAAAAAGAAAGAAAGAAATTAGCTGGACAATTAAAAAGATATAGAAAAACATTAGCCAGGCATGGTGGCGCATGCCTGTAGTCCCAGCTATTCGGGAGGCTGAGGCAGGAGGATCTCCTGAGCCTAGGAGTTTGAGGTTGCTGTGAGCTAGGCTGATGCCACGGTACTCTAGCCCGGGCAACAGAGTGAGACTCTGTCTCAAAAAAACCCAACAAAAAACACACACTATTTTATTATTGCACAATTCATTCTTGTTTGCATCACACTAGTATTCACCATAGCAATACTATTTAGCCAGAACTCATTTTTAAAGCAATATTTTTATTTTCTTATTTTAAACATATATGTAAAATCCATGGTCATATTATCTTAGGGTGTAAAATAATCATGCATTAATTTATGTTACAGTCAGGCAGTTTATTTTTATTTATTTATTTATATTAATTTATTTTTTTTGAGACAGAGTCTGACTCTGTTGCCCGAGCTAGAGTGCTGTGGTGTCAGCCTAGTTCACAGTAACCTCGAACTCCTGGGCTCAAACGATCCTCCTGCCTCAGCCTCCCGAGTAGCTGGAACTACAGACATGCACCACCATGCCCGGCTAATTTTTTCTATACGTTTTTAAGTTTTCCAGCTAATGTTTTCTATTTTTTTAGTATAGACGGAGTCTCACTCTTGCTCAGGCTGGTCTCAACTCCTGAGCTCGAACAATCTGCCCGCCTTGCCTCCCAGAGTGCTAAGATTATAGGCGTGAGCCACCGCGCCCGGCCCAGTCAGGCAGTTTAAAACAGTTTTCTTTGCTCTGGTAAATTATGAATCACTCACTGAATTACCTATTCGATACAATGTATACTATTTGGGTGACTGGTACACTAAAAGCCAGATTTCACCACTATACAATTCATCCATGTAACAAAGAAACATTTGTACTCCCTAAATCTACTGAAACTTTTTAAAAGCCAAGAAGAAAAAATATATACATCACTGAAATAAAACACATGAGGTTCAAGACCAGTTTATATGGCCACAGGCTTTCTTGTAAAGGTTCTGTTGCCTTGTCCAT